GTGAAGCTGTAGAACCAACAAGGTGGTTGAAACCTTCCTTTAGGATATCAAGAAACCAGACTGTGATGACTGGGAGAATGAGCTGAATGCAACGGAGTGTGTGTTACACTTGGAAAAAAAGTGTAATCAGTCACTACTGGACTTGCACAAACTGGCTACCCTCATTTATGTGACTTCATTGAGTCTCACTACATGAATGAGCAGGTGAAATCCATCAAAGAACTGGTTGACCACGTAACTAACTTGTGTAGGTTGGGGGCTCCTGAAACTGGCATGGCAGACTATCTCTTTGACAAGCACAGCCTGGGAGCCAGACAGTGAAGAAAGCTAAGCCTTAGGCTGGGTCCCCACAGTCATGGGTGTGACTTACCTGGTCACGAGGCCAGTGAAAGGTAAAGTTACCTTTACCTTATCTGTAACTTGTACCAAATCACCCATTTATATCTTTCATCTATACCATTCCTTCAAATACAGTAACTTGGTACCCCCCAAAAAGATAAAAAATATGAATAAAATGGCAATAAATACATTATCTAACAACTGAATCAAAAAAACAAAATAAATGAACAAGCAGAACAGAAACAGACTCACAGATACAGAGAACATTTTGGTGTTTGCCAGATGAGAGGGAGTTTGGGTGAAAAAGGTGAAGGGATTAAGAAGTGTAGATTGGTTGCTAGAGAATAGTCATGGGGATGTAAAGAACAGCATAGGGCATATAGTCAGTAATATTCAAATAACTATGTAAGGTGTCAGATGGGTGCAAGATTTACAAATAATGTCTAATCACTGGGGTGTACACCTGAAACTAAAAACATATGTCAACTGTAACTGAAAAGATGACTTAAAAATGAAAAATAAATATGAGAGTGTCATATGATATGACAATATCATTAAAAAAAGTGTACCTTAGTGAAAACTAAATCTACTTTGGTGGGAGAAAATTTATGAAATCTTAAGAGTTCTGAAAGCTATTTATAAAGCTGACCTAAACATTTAATAATCCTTCACTATTTTAGCAAATGTTTGTTACTTTTTTTTAAAAAAGTATCTTTTATTGAGTATGCTATTATAGTTGTTCTATTTTTTTCTCCCCTTTATTCCCCTCTGTCCTGCATCCCCCATCCCACCAGCATTCCCCCTACTCTGTTCATGTCCATGGGTTGTATATATCTTTTCTGCCATTCTCCCCTCTCCTCCTCCCCGCTGATAACCCTCCATATGCTCTCCAATTCTGTTGATGCTGTTCCTGTTCTTGCTGTTTGCTTAGTTTTTGTCTTTTTCTTTTTTAAGTTCAGTTGTTGATAGTTGTGAGTTTGTTGTCATTTTATTGTTCATAGTTTTATCTTTTTCTTACGTAAGTCACTTTAACATTTCATATAATAAGGGCTTGGGGATGATGATGAATTCCTTTAACTTTCTCTCATGTGGCAAGCACTTTGTCTGGCCATCCATTCTAAAGGGTAGCTTTGCTGGATAGAGTAATCTTGGATGTAGGTCCTTGTCTTTCATGATTTTGAATACTTCTTTCCAGCCCTTCTTGCCTGAAAGGTTTGAGAAATCAGCTGACAGTCTTATGGGAACTCTTTTTCTCTTGCTGTTTTCAAGTTTCTTTCCTTATCTTTAATTTTGGGTAATGTAATTGTAATGTGCCTTGGTGTGTGCTTCCTTGGGTCCAACTTCTTTGGGACTCTGAGCTTCCTAGAAGTCTATTTCCTTTGCCAGATTGCAGAAGTTCTCCTTCATTATTTTTCAAAAATGTTTTCAATTTCTTGCCCTTGCTCTTCTCCTTCTGGCACCCCTATAATTCAGATGTTGGAACGTTTTAAGTTGTCCCAGAGATTCCCAAGTCTCTCCTTGTTTTTTTAAAATTTTTTCTTCATTCTGTTCTGGTTGAACATTTATCTCTTCCTCCTGCTCCAAATTGTTAATTTCAGTCCCGGTTCCCTTCCCTTCACTGTTGGTTCCCTCTGTATTTTTCTTTACTTCGCTTTGCCAGCCTTCACTTTTTCCTCTATTTTGCAACCATACTCAACCATTTCTGTGAGCATCCAGATTACCATTGTTTTGAACTATGCATCTCTTAGGTTGGCTATCTCTTCATTGCTGTTTTATTTTTTCTGGAGTTTTGAACTTTTCTTTCATTTGGGCCATATTTCTTTGTCTTGGTGCTCCTGTTACATTGTAAGGGGCAGAGCAATCCCTGTCACTGCGTTGTGGTGCTGTATGTGGGAGAGGGATCAGAGAGGAAACAATGCCACTTGCTCAGCTCTTGGCTCGCTTTCAGTCACTTCCCCCACTACCCACAAGCAAATTCGGCCCTTCGGTGTTGATTCCCGGGTGAGTGGGTTCGTGTACATTCTCAGGCTGTGTGGGTCTCCCCAATGAACTCTCCTGTGAGACTGGGAATTTCTCTTGCTGCCTCAACCCCCACAGGTTTTTACAGCCAGAGTTTCTGAGGCTTTCTTTCCCCATGCTGGAACCATGACTTGCATGGTCTGTCTCACTCTCTAGTTGTTCCTCTCAGTTTATCTGCACGCAAATGTGCAAACACTTGGTTCACCAATTGCCACCTCACCTGACCAGTCTGCCAACCGCCACCTTGCCGCGTGTCTCTCTGCCCTGGCCACCTGTATCCACCCTTCCTACCAGTCTGGATGAATGTTTCTTCTTTAACTCCTTGGTTGTTGGACATCCATACAGTTCAATTTTCTGGCAGTTCTGGTTGTTTTCTGTTTTTTAAATTTGTTGTTGTCCTTCTTTTGGTGGTGCAAGGAGGCGAAGTGTATCTACCTACACCTCCATCTTGGCCTGAAGTTTGTTTCTGTTACCTTACTTGTTAGGCACTATTCTAAAATAGTGAAGCCCTGGCTGGTGTGGCTCAGTGGATTGAGTGCTGGCCTGTAAACCAAAAGGTGGCTGGATTGTTTCCCTGTAAGGGCACATGCCTGGGTTGTGGGCCAGGTCACCAGTGGAGGGCACTCAAGAGGCAACCAAATATTGATGTTTCTCTCCCTCTTTCTAAAAATAAATAAATAAAATCTTTAAAAAAAAATAAAACAGGATACAGTAGTGAAAAATTAGTCTTACTCTCAGCCTACATTTTAGTAAAGGGAGATAAATAATATATCAACAAATTTTAAAAGTATAGATACATAATTTCAGATAGTCCTAAGGCTATGGCAACAGGACAGAGTACCTGGAACATAAGGCTGCTGTTTCTCTTGCTCAAGTGGCCTTGAACTAATACTACTATGCCTCATTTTATGCCTATGGAGTCTGCCAAATTACTACACTAAGGCCAAAAAATTACGTCTAACAAAGAAATAAGGTACAGAAAAAGCAAACTCATAAAGGTACAAAAGTGACGACAGCCTTCTATCATGTGTTCTTTCCACATGTTCAGCAATCCTACTCATGAATCATATTTAGCTTCTTATAATTCATGGTATAGCTAACATTCTTTTTAATTTCCATTTATAAAAGACCACATGACAGTACCACATATCACATTTATGTTTGTGAAAAAACCTATGCTTCAACAGTGATACATATGCGATACTGAGTTACTTGAAATCCTGTTAAAAAGTTCATTTTCTCTACTGCTAGCTAGACTTAGGCCATTTTATTGTCATATCTACTATAACCAAACTAAAAGGGCAAATTTAAATACAAAAATTTTTATGATCTTAATGTTGACTTGTAAGCAAAAAAGCACTGTTTTCTGCTAAAATTATGAGTTAATCTTGTCATCCAAAGATAGATCCCAAGATCTGTATCACCCACCCACTAAAACTTCTTTTGCCAGCATGATGAATAAATAAATCTTTAATGCTCAACCATCTCAATCTCTTTCTGCATTATAACACAATTGTTAGGCTGGGAGGGATTAAGAGTGATCAGCACTGAAGGTCAATTAAACAGATCAAGAGTCAAAGATTAAACCAAAGTAATCTAGAATTCTTTTCTTATTAAAGATTTTATTTATTGTTAGAGAGAGGGAAAAAGAGGAAGAAAGAGACGGAGAGAAACATCAATGTGTGAGGGAAATATTGACTGGCTACCTCTCACATGTCCCCATTCATTCCCAACTAGGGACCTGGCCTGCAACCCAGGCATGTGCCCTGACCGGGAATCAAACCAGTGACCTTTCAGTTCACAGGCTGATGCTCAATCCATTGAGCCACACTAGCCAGGGATAGAATTCTTCAGCTCAAGCACCTCCCTGGAATTCTCCATAAGGCTTCAGGAGACTTCAAATTCAAATTTAAGAAGCATAAATCAATTTTATAACTCTATTTCTTTCTTTTTTTAAAAGATGTCTTTTTAAAATAATCCTCACCAAAGAGTATGTTTATTGACTTTAGAGAAAGACAAACACTGACATGTGAAAGAGGAACATTGGTTTCCTCCCATATGTGCCTTTACTGGGGATTGAAACTGCAACACTTTGATGTACAGGAGGATGCTCCAACCTACTGAGCAATCCAGCCAGGGCTATAACCCTATTTCTTTTTTTTTCAGATTTTTAATTTTTTATTTATTTTTTAGAGAACAGGGAAGGGAGGGAGAAAGAGAGGGAAAGAAACACAGATGTGTGAGACACATTCTATTTGGCTGCCACTTGCATGCCCTCAACTGGGGACCTGGCTGGCAACCCAGACAAATGCTGTGGCTGGGAATCAAACCAGCGACCTTTTGGTTTTGCAGGCTGGCACTCAATCCACTGAGCCACAACAGCCAGGGCTAAACCTATTTCTTAAGAAGTTCATAATTCAGTATGAAAACCAATGTCTCATGTAGTGACATGAAGTACTGTCATTTCTTCAATTAACCTACTCAAGTTCTACTGAAATAATACACTGCCACTGAAAAAGTGTCATTTTAAACTGCCTGGAAAAATAAGAACATTATAAGAGAAGGCCTTAAACCTTTTCTAAGTACTCCCTGCCTTTTCTGATGACTCTTTAAAATACTACTTCAATCAATTCAATACTCACATCTTGATTATATTCCAAGAAGACATGGAAATTTAAATCTTTTCTCAAAATAGGATGTGCTGCCACACGACACAGGAATACCTCATGCATTGCAACAGTCTTCTTGAATATTGCCAAATATTCACTAGAAACAATACACAAAATTAAAGGTAAAACACTCCATCTACTAGAAAATCATTTGCAACAATATTTTCAGCAAATACTCTGAATTCTAAATGCAAAATTAGAGATATAAAAATATAATCCAGGTAAACAAACGTTTTAGTTGAACTGTTAATAAAATATATAAAATCCAGCTCTGAAAAGGCTTCATGCTAGTTAATTGTATTTATTACATTTAAATGTTAATATTTTTGTTTTTATGAATCTTTCTTTCTATGCAAGTTGATTTTAAAGGTAGCTACAGGGGTGTTTCACTTCAACTTCAGAGGAAGTATACTACAAATTACTGGGTACAATCTTAATGATTTAATTTCTAGATAATTACTACTTTTAAACAACTTCATACAAAAAAAATCAAAACCCAAACCTAAGTAAGCATATTTTCAACATTAATATTTTCATCTAATGACCCAGAAACACAAGAAAAACATATACCACGAAGAGATTAATTTCTGCCATTACATCAAAGAACTGTGTTTAAAATATTTTAAGTATTGGTGAATCACAGCGATCATACAATAACACATGTCAGTTTGAAAACAAACAAACAACACCACTCAAGGAAAAGGCCCAATATTCTTGCTTCAACTACGTGCAAGGAGGATAAGTTTTACATACCAGCAAACCAGCAGGACCAATGTTGGGAGAAGTTTGATCTCTGTGAGGGTAGTCATTCAGTGAAGACAAAAAAGAAGGATGCAGAGGATGGAGGTAGCAGTAGAATAAACCCAAGGTTCTCTGTTATCCAACCCCTAACCAGACCACAAAAGAATCATGATCAGGGCCACTGGAAAACCACAGATTCTTCAATATTAATGTGCTCTGATAATTTCCAGCCTTATAAACTATAAAAGTAAGTTTCTGCTGTCAGACTACTGCTTACACCCAGCATTGACAGAATTCTTAAAATATCTGTCACCTTACACTTTGACAAAGAAGACCTATTTTGCTAATTTATCTGGTCAAGAGAGTTTAGCATTCTGAAGAGGAGTCTAGCAGCAGGGTGAATATATGCTTAAAAACTGAAACTCAGTGGAAGAAGAGAAAGAAAAAGCATGAAGGGGACAAATGGCTAGAAAAAGGGTGATGGGGGGTGATGACAATGCAAGGAAAGTTATTTCCTTGTATGTCTCAAAATACAGAAAAACAATATACAGCAAATCCAAAAGTAAATGTTTAATAAAAGAGGAAAATATTCTGTATTTTCAGCAAATATGCTAAAAATGAAATAGAAATATCTCAACTTTTCAAAGATTTAATGCATTTCTAGTGTATATGTAACTAATTATCATATAATAAAAAACATTTTAAATCTATTCTCTTACTACTTTGCTCTGGTTCTCTTCCCTTAGCCAGAAGCCATAGGAAGGGAAAAGAGGGAGAAAAATCAATCTCTGTCTCTCCTGTGTGTGTCTCTCTCTCTCTCACACACACACACATACACACACACACACACACACACACACACACACACACTCTCCCCCCCCCACAAAAAAAAGAAAGAAAGAAAACAGGGTATATGCACAGTTGCTCACCACATACTTCTATGAGAAATAGAAGTTTTGGCAGTATGCACACATTAGAAAAGATCACCAGGTTGCTACGAAGGCCTTATAAATAAAAAACAAAAAATTTATTTTGCTATAAGTCATTATTTCCCTTTCTACTATTTCTTATAAACTTCTAAGTCCTCCATTATTAATTTTCAGATTCTATTTAAAACATTAATCTAAAGAATTTTACAATGCAGACAATTAGTCTATAATTTTCCTGTAGGCTCTGATCATGATCATTAACACTGGTTGTGTGACTTAAACTTGCATCTTCCAGAAAGGGTCATTGTGGTGAAATGATTAAAAAGATGGGATATTGGACAGCACAAAAAAAAGGGGGAGGAGCATTAAAACAAGCACAATTAATAAAAGCAACAACAAAAATCACATACGCTTCCAGTTCCTGTTTCATCTTTGTGAATTCCTCCTTCGTCATGGACCCTTCTCCTTCTCCAAGCTTCTGTAGTTTTTCCCTTGAAGCATCAAAATCAGGCCTTGGTGGTGCTGGAGGGATCTGTGATAAAAGAACCAAATCACTAACCCTGAAGACTTTTATTTCTTACAGCAATTGTATTACAGCCACCATAAAAGACTTTGTGAATGAGAACTGAGCACCAGTAAAATCCCAAGTCAGGTAGAGAATTTGATTAATTTTAGAAATTCAAATCCCTGAGATCATTCATACCAAGGAAGACACATAGCAGACCATTATTTTCTAGTATTAGAACAGTAGTTCCTAAACTTTAATCTGCAGATACCTATATAGCAACCTACAGTCCTCAAATGTATATGCACATTAAACTCTGACTTTACACTAAATAAGTAGAGCAAACATGCATACCATTTTCAAAAGTATGTAAATGGTATGATTAAATACAATTTTTTTTAAGATTCTTTTTTACTTATTTTTAGAGAAAGGGGAAGAAAGGGAGAGGGGGAGAGAAACATCGATGTGTGAAAGATGCATGGATTGGTTGCCTCTCACATGCCATGCCAAATGGGGACCTGGCCTGCCACACAGGCATATGCCCTGACTGGGAATCGAACCGGCAAACTTTCAGTTCACAGGCCACATAAACATAAATAAGACATGGTCTTGATCTTTGAGGAGTGTTTAGTCTATAGGAGGAGAAAGTACTACGAAAATGCTATCAGACAAGAAGATGAGGAAAAAAAGGCAGAGATAAAACATGAAGAGAACAAGGACATTCTAGGTTGGTGAACACAACTGACACACTGGGAAGGAAAAGGAGGGCGCCTGGAGAGGGCCTGAAAGCTCTGTGCCCAGTACCCTCCCCATACCTTGTCCTTTGCATCTCTTCCATTTAGTTGTTCCTGAGGAGTTGTACCCTTTAAATAAACTGGTAATAGTAGTGTAAAACAACAACAGCAGCAGCAGCAATAACAACAAAACTACCGACTGCCCACCAATTGCAGAAAGAGAAGCAAAAGACTGAGAAGTAGAAGCAACAAGGATGGAGATGGAATCAGGTCAAGGCGATTTCAGTGAAATCTGAGTGTGACCAACAGCTGAGGCACAACATCACATAGGTAGATTAAATAACCTCTTAAACAGTCCACCTAAATTTAACCTATCTACCTGAGGGTTCAAATCCAGTGTGGTTTGTAACATCCCTTTAATCCCTAAGACAAGCCTGTTACAATTCTAATACACAATAAGAATTTAAATTTAAGCGAAGGAGCATACCATTTCCACATTCTCACACTCCCAAACAAGGCAATTCAAGATTAAAGATGGTAGCCAATTATGTCTCCTAACCAGCAATTTTTGAAAAGTGTATTAGTTCATTAAAAATGTTAAACAAGATTTCAACACAAAGTATCTATAAAGTGCCTAAAAATGAGATTAAAATAGAACCTCAACACTTACAATGTAACCTGCATAGTCTTCATTTTCAACAAAGGAATCATGAAGCCAGATAAATTCCTCATGTTGACGAACAACAGAAAACTCATTTTGTTTAAAATTTGGCAACGAACTCTGCAAAGATAGAAATTCTCATGAATAAAAATAAAAATTACACTAAAAAGCTTTTAATGAACATTTCACCATTACTTTAACATTCTATTAATATATATCAAACAACTATTCAAAGGAAAATACATCTGCAATCTGAAAATGTGTCTGAAAGCTAAATCAAAAATGAAAGTAATTTGTAAGACAGCAAATCCAAAAGTAAAAAGTTCAGTTTGTTTAACTGAAGGAACACAACAAAATTGAAAACAGTGATAAAATATATTAATAGAAGTCTAGAGAAAATTAAATTTGCATTGTGTGTGTGTGTGTTCCAATAAAACTTTATTTACAAAAACAAGAGGCAGTTAGATTTGGCCTGAGGACCCTAATTTGATGACTCCTCACCTATAGAAATATCTTTACATATATTCTCCCTCTTCACAATCAGTTGCCAAAAGAAGGGAGGTGAATATAGCATGTTCTGAAGAATACACCTTTTCACAGAAGTAGAGACTGGTGCAGAAAACATCATGTTGACCCTTTAAACATCACAGACTCTAGTAAATGTTAATGAGAATTGAGATGTGTTTCCTTACAGCAGTAAGTTCTATTAGCATAATACGTGCTGTATCGACATATTCAAACACTTAGTATTTTACTACAAGCTCTATCTCTATGCAAATGCTATTGTTTTGTTTCTTTCAACTACTCATGTTGTAAGTCACTTTTAATAGTCTGGGAAACTAAAACAATTCTAATTAGATATAGTCATGCATGTTTTAGTTTATTCCACAAACACAATTTGTATATATAATGTTGAGAAAAAGGGAAGGTGTTTGAAATCCCGAGAGAAACTCCTCAGCAAATTCTTAGGTATATTAAATATAATGCAAGGTTGCAACAATCTTAAAATCTTAGAAGTACTGTAGTACCTTTAGGGAGAAAAAAGTCAGCTTTTTTTAGTGTGTGTGTCTGCTTATTGCACTGAGCCACTTGAGTTTTGACTACCTGTGCACTGCATATAGTGCATTTTGTTAGTGCTATGTACTAAGTATTCATAGCATAAAGTAGAATTGAACTTCATGCTGCTTCTTTTTGAAAAGAACTTTCAATTTTATTTTTCAATTACTGTTTGCATTCAGTATTATTCTGTATTAGTTTCAGGTGTACACCATAATTGTGAGACAAATAAAGTCTTTACAGCGTCCTCCTCGGCATTTCCGGTGCCCACCTGGCACTATACATAGTTATTACAATATTGTTGGCTATATTCCCTATGCTTACATCCCTGTAACTATTTCGTGATCACCAATTTGTACTCTTCAATCCCTTCACCTTTTCACCCAGTCCCTCAAACCCCTTCCCCTCTGGCAACCACCAGTTATGTTCTGTGTCTATGATTCCCTTTCAACTTTTTTTGTTTACTTTGTTCTTTAGATTCTACATATGGTATTTTTCTTTCTCTGACTGATTTATTTCTAAGTCTGACTGACTTAGCATAATATCCTCTAGGTCCATCTATGCTGTCACAAAAGGTAAGATTTCATCCTTTTTTATGATCCATTCTTAATGTTAAATCTTTAAAAAGTACATTTCCGTAAAACTCTTTTTGTTAAAATAGCAGCAGTGAATTATAAACTAAAAAAAAGCTTCTTTCTAATTATTTTCAAAACCAAACTTCCAATCACTACGTTATTATATATGTAACATTAGCACAATAAATAGCTGAAATAATACAAGTACAAAATCATTTACCTTTGTGTGAACAGTGAATTTTACTTTATCTCTCTCACTAAGAGCATCAGAAATATCCACCTGCAGAGCAGCATCACTTTGAAGATCTACATTTATTGCTTTAAGCTAGAAAAACAAAATAATAGCTTAATGAAAATTCTGTGGGCTTTTATATTATTTCATTCTTCTCACAGATAGTAAAACAACACGAAAATAAAACTACAGTAACAAAAGAATCTTAGATCTAAAAAATACTTAAGTTCATTTAATCTACATTCATATTTTGGGGCAGTTACATTGGGTACGTTATTATGTTACCTAATTTTCATTCTACATCATTCAACTATACCTTTGCTTTGTATGAGTCAATGTATTGATTCATAGTTTCACCCCTAAAATAAACTATTTTTCAAGAAGATTGTTCATTAAAGTTCAAATGTTCTAAAATTAAGGAATATACCTGTTAAGAAGAGGACAAATAATTTTAAAAATAGGCCAAAAATTTTAACTCTATTCTTTTAGTTCAGGAATATACAATGAAACTATTAAATATTGTTAAATATAGTACATTATATGTAAAGTGGAAAAAATGCTAACATATAGCACTCAGTTAACTACTGTGATATGAATTAAATTTCACATCTTATTCTCTAAGCTTTAGTACATTAGAAGAATAGAATATGGTCTCTATTTAGTGCTTACATTTACTTGTCTATGGAAAGACATTTCCACCTATAATTCTTAAGTTTCATTTATGTTTCTTCTCCCTTAAACAAATAAGCATTTAGCATGGCTGGGTAATTTGGAGACTTACAAAAGAATCAAATACATCAAAAGAGAAAAAAGTTTCAGTCAGCAGGAAAAATATAAAATATTTGGAAGTCTAATTAAATAGCCAGCTTCAATTACTCCAGTTGTTATTCCCAGAACTTACAATGCCAATCTCATCTGGTCATTAATATTTCAAATTTCATTTACAATGTAAATGGAAAAAATGCTGAAAACCAAGTTGCTTATACACCACAATCGCATTTATATTTTTAAAAATGTATATATAAATTGCTTATAGGAAATACAACAAAATGTGAATAGCAATGGATTTTCTTCTTTATATATTCCCTTATTCTCTCAGTTGTCCAAAATATGCATGTATTACTTTTACAAATAGGCAAAAAGCCTTCTTTAAACAGAAATCCTGTAACTTATTAAAAGATTAATTTTCTTAAGTTCTTCATTAAATAGGGTTAACTTTATCAGTAAGGGAAAAAGTAACATACTATTTCGTGTTTTGCACTATTGGTTCTAGACTGAGTAGCCATGTTTTTAAAAATAAATACCTTTACATAAAATTGAACCTAAGAATCATAGAAGAAATTAATAACTATTTAAATTGCATGATACTATGATGGCATTTAATAAAAATTTTGCTGGTAACTTGAATAAGTTTAAGTTAACTTTCTATCAGTATAATTTTTTATTGCAAAGTTAGTGGGGTGTTTTTAGTATTTTATTCTTTATGCTATTACAGTTGTCTCCAATTTTCCCCCTCTGTCCACCTCCACCTAGCCCATTTAAAAGTGATGTTGAAAAAACTGTTATTGGATCCAGCCAAGATGGAGGCATAGGTAGATATACTTCGCTTCCTCACACAACCAAAAGAATGGTAACAACCAATTTAAAAACAAAAAACAACCAGAACTGCTGGAAAATCGAACTGTATGGAAGTCTGACAACCAAGGAGTTAGAGAAGAAACATTCATCCAGACGGGCAGGAGGGGTGGAGATGGGCAGCTGGGTGGAGATGGGCAGCTGGGTGGAGAGGACGGGTGGCAAGGCAGCGGCTGGAGGGATGGGAGGGCGAAGTGGTGGCTATGGGACTGGGCGATTCCACATCCCCATGCGGATAAGCAGGGAGGAACAAGCGGAGAGTGACACACACCACATGACCCAAGGTTCCAGTGCAGGGAAACTAAAGCCTCAAAACCTCTGGCTGTAAAAATCTGTGGGGGTTGAGGCAGTGGGAGAAACTCCCAGTCTCACAGAAGAGTCCATTGGAGAGGCCCACAGGATCCTAGAACATACACAAGCCCAACCACTGGGGAATCAGGACCTGGGCACAATCCACTTGTGGGAAGCAGGGTAAGTGACTGAAAGAAAGCCAAGAGCTGAGCAAGAGGCACTGTTCCCTCTCTGACCTCTTTCCCACATAAAGAGCCACAACGCAGCAAAGTGGGTTGCCCCGCCCTGGTGAATACCCAAGGCTCTGCCTCTTACAACATAACAGGAGCACCGAAGACAAAGAAAATGGCCCAAATGAAAGAACAGATCAAAACTCCAGAAAAATAACTAAGCGATGAGGAGAGAGCCAACCTATCAGATGCAGAATTCAAAACACTGTTAATCATGATGCTCAGAGAAATGATTGGGTACGGTCACAAAATAAAGGAAGAAGTGAAGGCTATGCAAAGTGAAATAAAGAAAAATATACAGGAAACCAACAGGGAAGGGATGGACACTGAGACTCAAATCAACAATTTGGAACAGAAGGAAGAGATAAACATTCAACCAAAACAGAATGAAGAAACAAGAGTTCAAAAAAGTGTGAGGCTTTGGAACTTCTAGGAAAACTTTAAACGTTCCAACATCTGAATCATAGTGGTGCCAAAAGGAGAAGAGGAAGGGCAAGAAACTGAAAACTTATTTGAACAAATAATTAAGAAAAACTTCCCTAATCTGGAGAAGGAGATAGAATTCCAATAAGTCCAAGAAGCTCAGAGTCTCCCAAAGAAGTTGGATCCAAGGAGAAACACACCAAGACACATAATTAAATTACCCAAAATTAAAGATAAGGAGAGAATCTTAAAAGCAGCAAGAGAAAAGGAGACAGTACCTACAAAGGAGTTCCCATAAGACTATCAGCTGATTTCTCAAAAGAAACCTTACAGGCAAGAAGGGACTGGAAAGAAGTATTCAAAATCATGAAAGACAAGGACCTACACCCAAGATTATCCAGCAAAGCTATCATTTAGAATGGAAGGGCAGACAAAGTGCTTCCCACATAAGATAAAGTTAAAAAGAGTTCATCATCACCAAGCCCTTATTATATGAAATGTTAAAGGGGCTTACCTAAGGAAAAGATAAAAACTATGAACAGTAAAATGACAACAAACTCACAACTATTAATAACTGAACCTAAAAAAACACAAAACAAACAACTAGAACAGGAACAGAATCACAGAAATGGAGATCACATGAAGGGTAATCAGTGGGGAGGAAGAGGAAGGAGAATGGGGGAAAAAGGGGTACATGGAATAAGAAGCCTAATTGGTAGGCAGAAAATAGACAGGGGGAGGTTAAGAATAGTATAGGAAATGGAAAAACCAAAGAACTTACATGTATGACCTACGAACACGAACTAAGGCAGGATATGCTGAAGGGATGGGGAGTGCAGGGCAGAGGGGAATAAAGAGCAGGAAAAAATGGGACTATAATAGCATAATCAATAAAATATACTAAAAAAAGAAAAAACTGTTATTGTACTCATTGCTACATGTAGCTCAGTCTGACAAAAGCAATGAAATACAAAGATGGCTGGAATTACAGAGTTGTTTTCTTTTTCATTTTCCAATTATCTCATTGCCTCTCCAATATTGGAAACATTAGAGAATACTTTGTTCTTTGGTTTTCTTGCTTCTATTTAGTCTTATTTGGGTCTTCATACTGTTCTTCCTACCTCTTCTCCAACCCATTACCATAAATTCTAGTTTAAGAAACCCGTTTTCTGCCCTGGATGGTGTGGTTCAGTAAATTGAACGTTGGCCTGCAAACCAAAAAGGTCACTGGTTCGATTCCCAGTCAGGGCACATGCCTGGGTTGCAGGCCACATCCCCAGAGGGGGGTGGGGGGCACACCAAAGGCAACCATACGATATTTCTCTCCCTTTCTTTCTCTAAAAATCAATCAATCAATCAATCAAAAAAACACAAACAAAAAAAACCCCAACCTGTTTCCTGTTTCCTATTTCCTATTTACTCACATTCAGGCTCCCCCCAAAATATCCATACAAGTCCCTGGAACCTGTGGATGCTACCTTATTTGGTGAAAAAGTACTTTTGCAGATGAGATTAAATTAAGGATTTGGGGATTTATAAAAAGGAGCGATAAAGCCAGCCAATATAATAATCTCCATTTCAATACAAAAATTTCACTGAAAGCTAAAACTGTTATATTTTTTCAGTTCTATATGCATATTTTCAAATTTTAACATATCTGAAATATAAACGCCTTACAATTGAGGTCAAATTACGGTTCAATTGGCAAATTTTTTTTTAGTGGTACATAAGAAAATATATCTTCCAATCAACTGCACCCTAGATTTAATAAAATATATTGTATATTTAGTGTTAATTACATAAAATATATGGCAAATTTTCTTCTTTGTTTAAAGTCAATAATTTTAGAGCATTTTTTTCCCCTTTGGAAACACTGATGTGTGAGAGAAACATCAATCGGTTGCCTCTTGCGTGCTCCCCATCTGGGGCCTGGCCTGCAACCCAGGCATGTACCCCGACTGGGAATCGAACCAGCAACCTTTTTGGTTCGCAGGACAGCATTCAATCCACTGAGCCACACCAGCCAGGGCACAGACCATTTTTATTATGGAAAATATTAAAAGCAGAGAATTGTGATTCACCAATACTTAATTAACTTTCTGCAACTAGTGAGGTCAGTCTGTCTAAGGAAATTCTAATTAGACTACATTCATTGATTTAATCCTTATCTGGGCCAATAAACATTGTACTTTCTTTTGCCAGAGACTGACTAGGTTAAACATTTGTGTCAAGGTCAAGAGGAAGACTAGCCCTGGCCAATATGGCTCAGTGTGGAGTGCTGACCCACACACTGGAAGGCTGTGGGTTAGATATCCAGTCAGGGCACATGACTAGGTTGCAAATTCAATTCCCACTTGGGGAGACTACGAGAGGCACCCGATTGATGCTTCTCTGTTATATTGATTTCTCTCTCTCTCTCTCTCAAAGAAAGGAAAAAATGTCCTTGGGTGAGGAAAAAGGAAAAAGAGAGAGAGAGTAGAAGAGAAAATGGATTAAGCAATACAAATACAGTAT